CACTGGATGTATCTTCAGAACCGTACTTGTGATGAGTCCTTGGAAGGACTAAAATATTTCCTTGCTGTTGTAGAGGCGGATATGAGGAATGGCCATAAGTCATCTATGTTGTGCCCATGTGTTGACTGTAAGAATGAGAAGCATTACTTAAATCAGTTCTCAGTCCATGCCCACCTAATTCTTTGAGGATTCATGGATGACTACAGATGTTGGAACAAACATGGAGAAGAAGGTGTCAATGACCAAGATGGTGAGGAAGGACTTCATGAAACTTATGCCAGTGGCAAGGAAGCACCCTTTGGCAATGAGGAACTATGTGATGATGATGTAGCAGAGATTGTTGCCAGCCCTGTCCCTATGGTTGAGAATCTAGAGGAGATGTTGTGTGATGCCTTTGGCTTTGATGAGTAAACTGGTTTGGAGTTCAAGAAGCTGAAGCAGCTGTTTGAAGATATGAAGACACCACTCTATTCGAGTTGCAATGAGAGGTATACGAAGTTGTCCGCTTCACTAAAGCTTCTCCAACTGAAGGCGGCACATCACTGGACTGACAAGAGCTTCAGAGAATTGCTAGAAGTGCTTGGAGATATGTTTCCCAAGGGGAATCAGATACCTAGGACTACATATGAGGCCAAGAAGATTGTTTGTCCGATGGGATTGAAGTTTGAGAAAATTCATGCTTACAAGAATGATTGCATCCTGTTCCATGGTGACAACGCAGCCCTCACGGAATGCCCCAAGTGTGGGACCTCTCGTTACAAGCGAAGAACTGACGAGGGTGATGATGGTGAGGAGACGCGCCGTAGAGTTCCTAGGAAGGTTGCTTGGTACTTCCCTATAATTCCTCGCCTGAAACATTTGTGTGCAACCTCCAAGGATGCATGACTGTTGAGATGGCACTCAGATGAGCGGACAGTTGATGATTGTATATGGCACCCAGCAAATGGTATTCAATGGTGGGTCATTGATTTCAAGAATCAAACTTTTGCTGATGAGCCAAGGAGTCTTCGGTTTGCACTCAGCACGGATGGCATGAACCCATTTGGTAACATGAGTAGCTCACATAGTGTCTGGCCCATGCTGTTAACTATCTACAACCTTCCCCCATGGCTATGTAACAAGAAGAGGTACATGATGATGTCAGTTCTGATATTTGGTCCATGTCATCTAGGTGTTAACATCAACGTGTATCTGAGGCCGCTTATTGATGATTTCAAGGAACTCTAGAAAGAAGAGGGTATTAGGGTGTATGATGGTTTCAGGAAAGAACATTTCAACCTACGTGCCATGATCTTCACCACTATCACTGATATTCCAGGACATCGTAGCGTGTCTGGGTAGAGCAAAGGAGAAAAAGACTGCTTTTAGTGCTTAGATGACACGGAGACTGTTTGGCTAAATAACTCAAAGAAGAGAGTCTATGTAAGGCACCGACGTTTCCTTCCTAAGTCTCATCCATATCGGGAGATGAAACATAGTTTGATGGCACTAGGGAGACAGGATATGCACCAAGGCATTTCATTGGGCAACAGGTATATGACCAGGTGGTAGAGAATACCACGCATAAAGTTGACCTAGAGAGCACTGTCCTTGGAAAGCGAAAGCGCAGCACAAAAGCAAAGAGTGCCATTAAGAAGAGGTGGAAGAAAATGTCAATCCTGTGGAAACTGCCTTACTAGAAAGACAAAGCGGTCCGCCACAACATTGATCTCATGCACGTGAAAAGAATGTCTGTGGGAGTTTAGTTGGGACACTCATGAATGACAAATGGAAAACCAAGGACCATGCAAAAGCAAGAGCTGACCTAGAGGAATTGGACATAAGGCTCGAGCTCCATCCTGACAGTATCAGTGCCCAGCCACCTCTATCCGCCATAAACCTAACCCGAGAAGAGAAGCAGGAATTGTGCGACTTCTTTCATAGTGTCAAAATTCCCTCTAGATACGCAGCCAACATTCAAAAGCTTTTGCCTACAAGAGAATACAAGATGCTTCCCATGAAGGCTCATGATTGCGATGTCATGCTCACAACATTGCTTGCAGTTGGTATCTAGAACATATTGCCAGAAAAAACCCGAATGGCAATCATGAGCCTCTGCTCCTTCTTTAATGCAATCTCTTAGAAGGTTATTGATGAACCATCACTGGAAGATCTTGAAAAGAACATGATTGAGGTGATGTGTCTCCTTGAGGCTTACTTCCCACTGACTTTCTTTGACATATCCGTCCATCTCATTGTACATTTGGTTAAGGAGATAAGGTATATCTTGGACTAATGTTCCTCCACCACATGTATCCGTATGGGAGATTTATGAGCACTCTAAATAGGTATGCCAAGAGTTAGGTCCATCCTGAGGGTACATTGGCGCAGTGCTATTCTACTGAGGAGGTGGTCGACTGGAGCCTCGGTTACATGGACCCCACTAATCCAATTGGCATCTCCAAGTCTCACCATGAGGGAAGGCTAGCGAGCAGAGGGTGTGTTGGGGAGAAGCACATTACTCCAGAGGGAGATGCCTATGAACGAGCCCACTTTCTAGTGTTGCAGCACACAGCAGAGGTGGAACCTTACATCGAAGAGCATATGGAGATGTTGAGGAAACAAAACCCACACTGGGGCGAAGCTTGGTTAGCGAGAGCACATATGAATGGGTTCAATATTTGGTTTAGAGATCGACTTGCCAGTTTAACCTCTTGCATAGACGAAAGGCTACAAAAGCTGGCAAAGGGCCCTTTCTTCACAGTCACAACCTATCAAGGCTATGACATAAATGGCTACACCTTTTACACAATTGATCAAGACAAGAAGAGTGTGTACCAGAACAGTGTTGTTCATGTAGATGCATTTGACAGCAAGATGCAGAAGACAGCGTACTATGGTCAGATTGAAGAGATATGAAAACTCTTGTATCTAGGCTTCAAGGTGCCTGTTTTTTGGTGTCGATGGGTTCAGGGAAGTCAGGGTGTCATGAAAAATAGGTATGGCTTCACTATGGTTGACCTCCAACAAGTTGGGTACCAGGACGAGCCATTTGTAGTCGCAAGTTAGGTTTCCCAAGTCTTCTATGTGTGCGACACTAGAAACAAGAAACAACAAGTGGTTCTCCCTGGGAAAAAGCGGGTTGTCAGACTTGAAAATCCAGTGGACAAGGAAGAGTTAAATCAATCCAATGAAGTGCCTCCTTTGGATAATTCCATCCTCCCTGTGATTTTGGCGAGCGAGCTAACTCCATACCTAAGAGATGGTCATAAAGAGGATGCCCCATGGCAAAAAGACGTCGAAAATGGCAAGTACACAAAAAAAAGATGCTCATGTGAGTTTTTTAACAATGTGCAATCTCAATTTTTAGTTAACAATATATATTTGTCATCGCCCTTACTTACAATGTGATGTTACTTTCAAGAACTTTCAGGAAGGGATTTTGGCTAATGAGAGAAGTTCATGTCATCTAGGATGTAAATTGTAGAATGAGAGATGTAAATTGTACTAGATAAGTTCATGTCATCTAGTCTAGGATGTTAAGCCCACAACTCCTTGTAATGTGTATGGTACCTTGTGGATGTATACCGAAATTTGCTTATCAAGACTACTTCATTTCATTTCTCTCATGACATGCATAGGGCATATATGCTGCTAGAATTTGATGTGTCATATCAACATACATATGAGCAGCACACACTTATGAGCAACACACACATATATAGCTAATTAACATGTAGGTGTCCATACATATTACCAGTAACATTCAGTCACTGCTAACTTAATAACAGAGTCGTCAACTTTGCTCTCTTCTCCTCCTTCTCAGCCAGCATCTTCTTCAACTCTTGCATTTCCACACCTTGAGCATCCAGTACATGAGCAACATATGAGCATCCAGTACATGAGCATCTAGTATTTGAGCACAGAGCACATACATGCAACCAGTAGCATCCAGTGGCTGCTATGGTCATCACAGCAACGCAAATAGGCACCACATATAACATATATGTATATATATAGATAGCTAATTAATTTAAGGTGTCCATACAGCATATCACCACACATAGATGAGCCGGAGTCCATACAGCATATCATCACATAGTACATATATTAGCTAAGTTAAGGTAACTTAAGGTCATCACTGTTTCAATGGTATGATCACTTCGGCTTCTTAGCCAGGACGTCATCCACCTCCTTGGTTAGGGCCTCCAACTTCTGAGTCACGGCCACTAGCTAGGCACCCATGGTGTCCACCATCTCCTTAGTAGGTCCCTTCTCCTCCTTCTTAGCATGCATCTTCTTCAACTCTTGTATTTCCATAGCTTGATTGTTCAGCAACTCCTTGACGTCGTCAAGCGTCTAGTGAATAGCCAAGAGCTTTTCCTGCGCTGGTTTCATAACCACTACCTGCAGGGCCTCATGCAAGGTAGCAAGAAGGGACCACAAAAGATGGAGCCCACATATATGCACAGAAACAGTTATCAAACAGGTAGCCATGCGTTGAAACTGAAATGAAAGTGAAAGTCTGAAACTGATTGCTTCTATTGCTAAGCTTGACAGATAGCACATTCCACTAGACTATTGAAAATTGAACACAGTAAATTCTTGACAATGCTATTTTCTAAACTAAGATAACTGAAGCCTGAACTATTTTCTGAAAGTGTTCAGTAAACATGAAACACTGATAACTTTGATCAAATCTTCAAGTACAGTGACAATTGACTCAGGCAAGTTCACTTGTCAACCAAACACAATTCCAGTCCCACCAAACACATTCAGTTAACTGAAACACTCTAATAACTGAAACATTCAATTAACTGAAAGAGTTAAATGCATCAGTAGTCCATCAACTTGCACTCTAGTTTCACTTATGTCTATTAACTCTGAAAGTGGGGTTTTTGTCCATAATCTTTGTTAGTGTCATCGCACCCTGCGCCTTCTGGCTCTTCTACAAGGCCTTCACCGACATCGGCATCAGCGGCAGTGAGTACCCGGCGCCGTATGCCATCGTGTACCGGAACATGGCCATCCTCGGCATGGACGGCTTCTCGTCGCTCCCCAAGAACTGCCTCACCCTCTGCTACATCTTCTTCGCGGCGGCCATCGTCGTGAACCTGATCAGGGACCTGGTGCCGAAGAAGGTCGCCAGGTTCATCCCGCTGCCGATGGCCATGGCGATCCCGTTCTACGTCGGGTCCTACTTCGCCATCGACATGTTCGTCGGCACCGTGATCCTCTTCGCGTGGCAGATGATCAACAGGGCCAAAGCCGACGCCTTCGGACCTGCGGTTGCGTCAGGGCTGATCTGCGGCGATGGCATCTGGACCCTGCCGCAGTCCATTCTTGCGCTCGCCAAGGTGAATCCGCCGATCTGCATGAAGTTCCTATCCAGGTCGGTGAACGCCCAAGTGGACGGCTTCCTCGGAAATTAAGCTGTGAAAATTACGATCTGTCAGCAGTCAGCATGAATCCCAAGTGTATATTGTATTGATGCACCATGCTGTAAAATGTACCGGGACGGGTAAATGTTGTTTCGTCACGATCTGCTTTTGCTGTACATGAGTAATTACACTAGTCGTATACGCGTCAGCATTATGGTACCAACACCCAACAGCTGTAGGTTGCCTGGGTTCAAATTTCAAATTCACAACTGTATCTCGTCATATATCGTCGATATCTGCAAGGGTAAACCAAAACGTTTTGACTCGAATTTCCCTTCTCCAAGCGAAAGAACATCTGGGCCGTGCAATTCCGATCGGAGGGCTGCTACCAGCGCCAGCCCAGTGCCCACCAGAATCCCGGAGCCTGATCGTGACGCAACTGGATTCCAACTGCCTTCTAATAAATACGCCGATTACCAAGCATCAACCGAGCCATCACGAACCATTAGACAACCACCATGGCAACTGGCACCATCACCGCCAGCGCTTCCGGCGACCCTGCCGCCCACGCAGGAGCCGACGCCTTGGAGTCAGGCGCCAGCCTGCTGCGGCAACGTCACGCCAGCGGGCTTGCGGGCGCGGACGACGACAACGACGGGGGCAACAATGCCGAGGAGGTGGTGGTGGCCTCAGTGGAGCAGGCGTTGGCGGACAAGCCCGTGCCATCGTGGCGGGAGCAGCTGACGTTGCGCGCCTTCGTGGTGGCGTTCATCCTCGCCATCTTGTTCAGCGTCATCGTAATGAAGCTGAATCTCACTACCGCTCAACGTCTCCGCCAGCCTTCTCGGCTTCTTCCTCGTCCGCCTCTGGACGAAAGCAATCGAGAGCATGGGCTTGCTGAAGCAGCCCTTCACGCGACAGGAGAACACCGTCATCCAGACCTTCTTCGTCTCCGCCTATGGCCTCACCTTTAGTGGTAAAACCCCCAAACCATTCCAGCGCCAAAACTCCCGCCAAATCCAATCTGGACGCCACGATGGACAACCACGTCGGTTAAAAAATTGAAACAAAGGGGTATGGGCTAGGAATGCGCCACTAACAAAGATTATGGACCAAAAAACCCACTTTCAGAGTTGATGGACCTAAGTGAAACTAGAGCGCAAGTTGATAGACCACCCATGCATTTAACTCTAACCGAAACATTTAGATAGCATGTGCAAACATTTAGATGAAACATTCTGACTATGAAACATTCAGTTAACTGATGAAGGATGCATCAGAGAATGATACTGCAATGCTGAAATAGAAAATGTAGGCAACATATCATGCCAAATACTAACTTTCAGATAACTAATATCATCCTAGCACATACCAAATATGAAAGTAGCATCATAGTCACAAATACTGTCACAACAATTCATTCCCATCACAGCATCAGGTAGTTCACATAAGTGCTTGTCTTCTCATCACACATCAATAGCAGAGAATTTAATTAGCACTGAAACCCTAAATAAGCGAGATCACAATTACTAAAACTGAAATTTATATAGCACAATATATATCACTACTACAGATTGACTTGTCACTATCGCCACTTTTACTATTGTAGCGATAGAAGCGACTGTGTTATGCTTCCACCACCGGTTGTACCCATAGCGAGGCCTCCTGAGGAAGGAAACCGGTGGTTGAAACTTCTAGCACCCACAGGTTAACAGTAAATGCGGCAGTGGTATTTTCTCCGTTGCATGAAACGCCAAGCCGACTGGATAGGCGTTCTGGCCACCGGCTCTACACGACCGTTTGGTCTACCGGCGGTAGTAAATTCAGCGTGAGTTATTTCCCTATTTCCCAACTACCCACAACATAGTTGCATCACCATTCCACTTCTCCATCTTCAAGGTTGGTGCATTGTTCCTCTCTCCATTCCATGCCTCGCTCCGCGCCGCCGCCAGATCCAAAGGCAAGGGTATGCTTTCGCACTTCACTGATGGATCTTTGTCGGATTATTTTCCTCTTTAGATCTCGTTAGTAAGGAATGGATCTTTGTCGTAGGCTCTTTGAAATGGAGGTGGCCCCCAACCAGAGGAATGCAGTGGCTAGCCTCATATTCGATCTCCTTCTCGACATTCTCCACCACCTCCCGCCCCGCTCCTTGTTCTCCTGCAAATGTGTCTGTCGCTCCTAGAACCGCCTCATCTCCGACAACCATCAGGTGCTGCCCTAGACTGTGTCTGGCTGTAACACCCTCAGTGTTACACTGTAAATCATTTGCTAAAACATGTCATGAGCATCACGTTTATGTGTTAATGCATGTAATAAAGAGTGTAGATCAATTTCCGTAACTCAAAACGATCAACGGAAGTGCGAAACGAAAGTTAATTCCATAGTCATGTTATGTCACTTAGGGTTTAAAACCAATTTTTATTAAGCAACAATGCTATAGAACATGTATGTGATACTTGAATAAAGTTTGAAGTACAAACTTTGTAGATGACGATGAAATACCTGCGGTCGAAAAATGATATCACTAGCTAAGATTTCTAATAGCTTGGAAATCGAATTTGAAGCAAATTCAACACAAGACTTAGGTCAATTTCTTAAGTCTGAAAATAGATTGGCAAAGCTATGTTTGGTAATTTTTGTTGAGAAATTTGGTTAAGGAGTGGTGTGGTATTATAGTTTGTTTTGGTAGTTTATTATATCCTCTAAGGCATAGCAAAGGTGGTTTGGGGATTGGATCAATGGTTTAGATGTTTCGAACGCTTTAAAAACCATGCACAACACATTCTTGGCATGTTTCCTTGCGTGGGCGTGGTCACTGCGTCTCTAGGACACAACGTCGTTGCCTCGGATGCCCCATGCGTGCACCCTGTCGCGCTCGGTCGGCCACCGTCGGCGGGTCGGCCTGGCCGCACGGTGTTGCTGCCACGTGGGCCCGGTGCCCTGGCCACCGTGCCACCCTAACGCATGGGCATCCCAACCGACTGTCGAGCTGCTGCTCTACTGCTATGTTGTCGTCGTGTCGCTCCTGTATGTGTGCTGCATCGCGTTGCCTCTCCCTGGCTCGGTTGGGTGCCGTCTGAACATGGTCGTGCACGCCGCTGTCGCTTTGCCATTTATGGCATTGCGGCCGCGCGGGCCACGCTGGTCAGGCATGCACGCCCATCATCTTGCGCCAGCGCTTGGGACTCCCAGTCCCGCCGCTCGCGTCTTGCCTGGGCGCACAGCCGTGCCACTGCCGCCGCCCGCGTTCCCCTGTCTTTTCCCCAGCCACCGCCGTTGCGCTGCGACAATACCTGGATGCGTGTGGCGCCTCTCATTAATTCCGCACGCCTGCACTTGCGCACTCTTGTCCTCTCACAGCCTGAGCCACCCATAGTCTTAATGATGGTCGGCCGGGCGCCAATTTGGCATTTCCGCCACGGTGAGCTGTTAAGGCCACGCTTGGCCGTGGGCACGGATAGCTCGCTCGCCATTTGCCCACTATCCAATTCACTGTACCACTACTTTCGCCTAGCTCCTTCATTCGCCCCACGCACCTCAGCCCAGTCGCTATCGGCTTGCCTTCGTCGCTGATGCGACCTTGTCACCGCAGTGCGCCGCCACCAAGCTTGGCCGCACGTGGCCAGCTTCCCTCAGCTGCCCTCTGCCCCAGCCATCACTTTGGGCAGACTCACAGTACGTCATTAGTGCTTATCCACCACCTCTACTGGGCTGTTAGTGTTGTAGCTCGCTAGGGTGGCTGCGCCGCTGTCATGGGCGGTCGGGCATGGTGGCAGCTCGCTTCGTTCACCCCGTGGCTCTGTATCGCCATGATTGGGTTAGCGTTAGGGTCATAGATGGTTTTGGCTCATTGGTGGGGTCAGCGCGGGTCTCAGGTTGTTTACACCAAAATTTGGAGAGAAAAAACACGGGAACTCGAAGCCTCCAAAATTGTGTCGATCAAGAACTCGGTTGCATGAAGATTGATATCAGCTGATTCAGAGGAAACACTAGAATCGGCTCTCTTTGAATGACGTCAGCAAGTAATGATAATGGACTATGGTCGGTGTCGGGAGATGCAGATCAGACTCTACAAAAAGGAAAAGATTAGGGTCCAAGTTATCTTAAGATTAGGAATGTTCTCTTTTATACCAAATATTGTAATGAGTCGTATTCGAATAGGATTCATGTTTAGGCTCCGAATATAAATATTGGACCCCCGGCTATTGTAAAAACACACAATCAATCAAATACAAGTTACATACTTTTTTTGGCTCCGGACACCCCTTAGGAGTAGGAGTAGAGTAGATCTCGGCGAGTTCTTCAGCGAGCAGGGCTGTATCGGTCCGGCCGACCTCTGGCTTGTTTGTAAGTACCATCATGGCTTATACATCTGTTCGTACGGCTGCATCGATCCGGTCAACCTCCACTGTGACTCTGGTATAAGCTAGTTATCGACTCTTGTTTAGTTCAAGTAAGGCTGCATCGATCCGGTCGACCTCCACTGCTCGAACTAGATTAAGGTCAAGTTATCGGCTCTATCTAAGGGTGGCGTCCTTCGGATAGATTCATCAAGTTACCGATATTGCTTATTGCTTTCATTATTTATTTGATTACAGCAATATCACTTCGCTCGATTGGGATTGATCTAGATCGGCCTTATATCCTGTTTAACCCATCGTTTATTAATCTAAACTCATCTAATCTGCACCTTAAACGATGAGTTATGTTTTATCGGCTGTTTTATGTCAATCTTGATCATGCATAGTGTGCGGTTCAGGCATATCTAGTCTTGAATAGATCTATTGGTTAACGAAAACTATTCCATGGCCCGTTATCATGGCTTATGTGATTCTGCCTCACACCCCACTGTTAGCACCATGGAGTGGGGATCGTTATTTGGTAGATCTGTTCCTGATAGGGTATGACCTTAATAGTGCGCTATGCCTGAATCGATTGTTTAGCCGATATCGAGTGCTTTCACATATTCAGTTCACGTCATGAGACCGTTGAAGTAAAGATAGGTTGAAAGATGTGTTAGCCCCATGATCTTATTATTGTGTTACGGC